CGGTACATCGGCTTGTAACAGAAGGAAGTCTTCCATTTTCTAAACCAGACATGATTAAATATAATGTTGCTAAAGCTGAATTCGATTTCTTAGTTAAAACAGGAATTTGCAGACCTTCAAATTCCTCAGTTGCATCTCCTCTTCATTTAGTACCTAAAAGAGAATTGAATGATTGGCGTCCTTGTGGCGATTTTCGAAGATTAAATGTGGTAACTGTTCCGGATCGTTATCCCTTACCGCATATTCATGATTTTAATATGAATCTCAGAAATAGAAATATATTTTCTAAATTGGATTTAGTAAGGGCACATCATCAAATTCCAATGGCGGAAGAGGATATTTATAAAACCGCTATTACGACACCTTTTGGCATGTTTGAATTTACACGAATGCCTTTCGGACTTAGAAATTCAGCGCAGACTTTTCAGAGATTTATTAATGAAGTCGTTAGTGGTTTAGATTTTGTTTTTGCTTATGTTGACGACTTACTTATTGCAAGTGAAGATGAAGAACAGCATTTAAAAGATTTACAAGTGCTTTTTCAACGCCTAACGCAGTACGGTTTAAGTATTAAACCAAGCAAATGTACTTTTGGTGTTTCAAATATTGATTTTTTAGGACATAATATATCTGGAGCTGGGATTCGGCCTTCTGAAAACAAGGTAGCAGCTATTCGCAATTTTGAGCGTCCAAATTCTATTAAAAAATTACAGAAATTTTTAGGTATGGTTAATTATTATCATAGCTATATGTGACCTGGTCTACGAAAAGGGAGCTTACGTGCGAAAACTAGTTTTCTGTGAAAAAGCTGTTAAAAGTAAGCAACTCGTTTCGTCAGTTTCTCATTATCACGTTAGTTGTTCTCCGCGCCGGACGTCCAGTAAGTGTTGTTGTTGGTCCAGTAAGTGCTGTTGTTGGTCCCGTAAGTGTTGTTGTTGGTCGGAATATTATTATAGTTTTATTATTATTATTATTATTAATATTATTATTATTATTATTAATATTATTATTATTATTATTAATATTAGTATTATTTTTAGTACACTTCTAAGCAAGTTAGGATTTTCTGCTTTTCACCACGTGAAAAAGCATCTCATCTTCCATCCGAATCAACCAAAAAGTGAAAATTGACTTTTTGACACCTAAGCCCCCTTTCCGTAGACCAGGTCACATATACCGAAATTGGCAGAGTTCACGAATAAACTTTATGATTTAATTAATAGAACAAACAAGAGACGAGAAGAATCTTTAATTTGGGATGATAATTCAATCCAAGCCTTTGAATGCATTAAGGATAGGTTTGCGTCTGAGATATTGTTAAATCATTTTAACAAAGACGCTAAGT